ATATATATATGTATATATACACATATATACGTGTATGTGTGTGTATGTGTATTTGTATAGTAAAATAGTAAAATAAAACAAAGTAATGTTTAAAACTTGTGTACTTTTTGTTGATTCTTATTGTTAACAGTTTTGTGTGTGTATGTGTGTGTGTGTATGTGTAGTTGGGCTGAGGAGAGGCAAAAGGACATAGAAATATGCCCTCTGCTGTTCAGTGTCTTGACATAGGGTGGGCTACAGAGACAAACAGATTTAGAGAGATAAAGTTATTTTCTTAGAGAGAGGGACAAAGGGACAGAGGGACAGAGGGACATAGGGACATAGAGACAGAGAGACAGGGGGAATGCTGAGGTGGGTGTTTGCTGATCCGCTGCTTTTCCTGCTCAACATTGTCAAATTGCCCACGTCATTTTTGTTGCTTCCATTTGGGCTCAGTATTTAATGACCCAGCCCTGCCCCCAGATCCTCCTGCTGCTGCTGTTGTTGTTGTGGCTGCTGCTGTTGCTGCTGCTGCTGGGGCTGTTGCTCCGCCTCTGGCATGTCCGCCAGCTCGCTGTGCATCACAATCTCAATGTCGCCCAGCTCCGCGGCAGCCTCCGCCTTCAGAGTCATATCCTCGACACGCGACAGCTTCTGCAGCGAGTGCAGCGTCTCCTCGTTGATGGTATGCTCCGGCGAGATGTTCTCCTTGAGCTCACGCTTCAAGCTCAACGGCATGTGCACTGCATTGCGTTCAGGTGGCGACGGCGACTCGGCAACATTACTCAATATCGGCGATATCGTCGTGGCAGCCGCACTGGGATTGACATCCAGTTGCCCTGCACTGCTTGCGCCATCGTTGCCAATATTGAACGAGAGGTTCGGCCGGAACACTTGCTTCCTCAAGTCGCGCAGCTGACGCGACGCCGTGTCCAGGAACGAGCTACCGCCACCGCTCGTCTCCAAGCCAAATGCTCCCACCACGCCCGACCCGGCACCCTGCCCCGCTGCTCCTCCTGCCGCTGCCGTATTGCTGCTGCTGCAGCTATTGCTTCTCGCTGGCGGCGTTGTCTTCCGTGTGGCCATAAACGTTACATTTACGTCGCCACTGTTACCCATTGTTGTGTTTGTTGTTGTATCTGCAAGAGAGCATTAGAAATTAGATATAAGGAATGCAGGCATGTGAATGTTAAATTCATGAAATGATGAGTTGATGTTTTTATGTTATTGTATCCGGGATTGCTTTACCAGGGTATCACATGTAAGTTCTATACGTTTACTATTTAAGCATATCAATTTAGTTGCATTAGTTAACAAAATATATAGATTGAAGTGTTAAATCTTCTAATATTCTAAAATTCTTATGTAATTTTTAATATTTACTTTTTATATTTATTCTACGAGAGCCCAAAGGTGCTTAATCTGAGTCGTCTATTCTACTGTGGTGAACTCAACTAAATTAATTTTATTTTCTAAGCCATTAAGCTTTGATAGGCTCTAACTAAGTTTAGGCCTTTGAGTAAGCTAACAAATGGAATAGAAAACACCCACACATTGAATATACTTAACGTAGAAATAACCCTAAGAACGTTTGTAACATAAAGTAAGGATATATGTGGAATCATGCCTGCATAGTTAGTTAAAGTGAAATCTCTTCAGCGACTATCACTAGATCACAATTTTTAATGTTGAATATGTAAGACTAATTTTATTTTGTTGAATCCATAAGGTTCATGTGAACCATGTAAGGCACTAACAACTATAATATTCTATACATTAAATATATTACATATCAATCAGCATTAATGTTAAATATGACTTTTCAATCATATTACACAATTTTTTCCATTTTATCGTTTGGATGTGCCCTATTTAAAATATCGTATACTATATCGTATACCAAGTCTTAATACATTTTCTTTAGGCCATAAAATATTCCCTGCATCAAAAATTCTCTAACAGCAAATGACTAAAAATCTTGAGGCAAACGGACAAATTTACAAAATATTTTCCTCACATAATCTAATGCAACTATTTTAGAATTAAATGAAATTGAAAATAGTTTTGACTAACTCTGTGCGTTGTTTGTGAGTGGAGCCATGGCTGAGGCCGGAGCAGCCGCTGGCTTTGATTCCGGTGATGAGCTGCGCTGGAACATGGTGCTCGGATTGAACAGGGTGAGCAGCTTGTCCACAGTGGTTGGATTGGCAATCCAAGATGATTTGCGTGCACGTGTCGCCGGTTGCTGTTGTTGTGGCTGCTGTTGTTGCTGCTGTTGCTGTTGACCCCTTGCTGTTGCTGTCCCTGTGGAGTCCAGCTCACTGCCAACTGATGCTGCTGCCGAGAGTGCTGCACCGGCTGCCGAGTCTTTGGTCAGTGTGATATCATTGTCGCCAAACACAGCAATGGGGCAGCTCTTGGCAGCAACTATTGCCGCTGGCTCCGCACTGCCAGAGCTGTCTGTTAGATCGGTGGAGGCCCCGCTGCTGCTGCTGCTGCTGCTGCTCGTTGCACTGGATATGGGCGAGGTGCTGCATGAACTAGATGATGTGCTGGGTGAGTTGGGCGACAGCTTCTGTGTCGCCGCCGACTCCCCATTTGTACTTTGTTGGTGTGCGCTGCCATTGTCAGCGGCGGCCGCGGCGGTGGGTGGTGGCAATGGCTCCACAATGATCACGCTGCTGATGGGCATCGCTGTGGTTGTTGTTGTTGTTGCGGTGCCCGTGACGGCGGCTGTCAATGTGGTCGCTGCTACGCTGCTGGTTGCCTCAGCCAGCTGGGCGGCTGCCTTGCGCGCCGACTTCAGCATCGGCGTGGGGGGCAGGTGAATCGGTGGCGTCTGCGGATCCTCGTAGATGCGCGAGACGTGAAAACGCGAACGCGGCGACACGGACAGCCGCTTGATGGTCTGTGTGGATGAGGTCACCGATGCCATCGATGGCAGCGAACTGGACGTGGGCAACTGCGACGCGGCCATCACATTCGGAGTGCTCTGGCTCAGCAACAGGCCGCTTCCGCTGCTGCTGCCGCTGCCGCTGCCAATGTTGTCGTCGCTGCCGCTGCAAGCAATGCCGACGGTGGCCGCCGGTATGGACATGCAGCTAATGGCCGAGCGCGGATTCGGCGGATGCTGCGGTGGCATTTGGGCCAGCGGCGAGGTCAACGGGCTGCTGATCTCGTTGACGCGCGACACATGAAAGCGGCTGCGATTCGGCGAGGAGGACGGCGATACCGTGGGCGGACTGGGACCCGGCGAGCGCAGACGCGCATTCGTCTTGCGCTTCACCTCCAGTTTGGCAGCCGGCGTGGGCATTGCGGTTACTGCTAGCGCAGCGGTCACAGTGCCAGTCGCTGCGTCCACCAGCGGCCGACTGTGGCACGTTAGCGATATTTTCCGCGAGCCCAAGTAGTAACCGCCGCGACACCGATTTATATAGCTGTTGCTGCCGCCGACGGCACCGTTGCTGTTGCTGCTGTTGCCATTGCTGCTGCTGCTGCTGCCGCCCACGTTCGCCGCCTTCTCCGCCAGCTCCAGCTCCTCCGCCTGCATCTTCTCATTGCGCGAGCACATGGAGCGCACTGTGCCCAGTACTCGCGTATAATCCAAATGCGCATCGCTGCCAATCTGCAACAACAAACATCAAACATATAATTCCAAATGGAATGCATTAGTTTTAGCTCTTGATTGATTTATTGATTTTGTATTTTAATTTCAATATTACATAACGATCGTCTTGGCAGAGTACAAATATTTGTAGTAAGCATGTGCACAACTAAAGTAGACCTTTCTGTCCTTTGAAGGCTTTCCAATTGTGTTAATTACTTCTTAATTAATTTGATTAATGTTTGTAATTCGAAATTCTAATTTTAATATAAGCAATTTTGGGTCAAGAACCGGACAGCAATGACTGAATATTTGGATTGTATAAATAATACTATTTTATTATGATATTTATTCTATCATTATCATTGATTACCATTACTATCAATGAAGTAGAATTTTTGCGGGGTTTATCAATGATTTCTAAGCCCAATTTTCCTTAGCTTTACAGCTTTACAAATTAACTGGAGATCGAAAACATAGATTATGAATATAGTGGTAAATATAATTGAGACGTAGAAAATCAAATTTTTATTGCTCAAGAACTATGTTGGATAAAGAATAGAAAATAGAAAATCCCTATGAATATGTTGGGTAGTGTTGACTATTAAATACTCTCTTTCCAGTTAATCATTCGAAAACTTTGATTCATCGGAGTGAATATCATTGCGAACTATATCTATCTATTCATTACTTAAGTTCATCTAGTTCAAGAGCCATTTGTGATCTTTATGAACAATAAATATGATATATTGATTTATGATAACAAAAAAAGAGGAAATAATTTAAAGAACAAACTAGTTCGATGAACTAAAGCAAATTTAATAAATAATATATATTGAATAATTCTAGCTTCAATTTAGTATAATTAGAATTTCTTCCCATATTCACTAAATTTTTAATTAACTGCTCTGATTTTTGTTTTTTAGCTGTTTTTGGCTATTTTTAGAAGCGTGTTCTTCAGTTATGCACGCTCCCATATAGTGCTCAGAGGAAAATTGTTGATCGTGCTCAGCTTTTGCATTGTTTTTCGTTTTGCTATTAGCTTAGGTGATTTTTAACAAACGAAGTTGCAGCTGTTGAACTATTGCAATGTTAGCATTGTTAGCGGTTTTTGTTTTGTTTTAATACTTATTATTAGTGGTAGCAAAGCCAATAATTCGTTGCGATTATGCCCGGCAGGCGGCAGAGAAGTATATAGAGAGAGAGTTATAGAGAGCGAGAGCGAGGAACGAGAAGGAAATTTGCTATGATGTTGTATGGGATTTACTTACGCTATCCTGCGGCATTGATGTTGGCGGTATAACTTTTACTATCGGCACTATTGGCAACTTTTGCGATGAAGGAGTTGGTATTATATTATATATATGTATATATAACAACAACAGCACGAAATGAAAATGATTCAATTATAAAAATCAATCAACAATCAACGCAACGCACAAAACGCACAACTGCGCGCACTACAAATATTTTGTTTGGATATATAATTCTTGTTTGGAATTCGGCTATGGCCAAAATCATAAATGTCATTTACACGGGCTGCACTCTATAGATTGCAATTTGAGCAGAAACCAACATTTAAATAGAATTACAAATCGAAAAGTCAAATTCATTTTATATACATATACTTTTCTATATACTCATTGTATTCCATATTATCTCCCTTTTTTTTAGTAAAACAGAATACAAATAAAAAATATATTTTAAAAGACTCTAACAAACATTTAAGTACTTCTAGAGAATCTGCCAAAATATAATTTAATATAAATATATGTATATATACAAAATCATTAAAGATTTTTAAGTTTTTAAAAGAATTTTTCAGTTGAAAAACATAAACTATGTTCTATGTTCTATGAATCTAAAAACAATTTTAATCTAATTCCATTCATTTTATTTTTAAGTACTTCTAGAGAATCTGCCAAAATATAATTTAATATAAATATATGTATATATACAAAATCATTAAAGATTTTTAAGTTTTTAAAAGAATTTTTCAGTT